ATGGATGGATGGATAGATAGATAGATAGATAGATAGATAGATAGATAGATAGATAGATAGATAGATAGATAGATAGATAGATAGATAGATAGATAGATAGATAGATAGATAGATAGATAGATGGATGGATGGATGGATGGATGGATGGATGGATGGATGGATGGATGGATGGATGGATGGATGGATGGATGGATGGATGGATGGATGGATGGATGGATGGATGGATGGATGGATGGATGGATGGATGGATGGATGGATGGATGGATGGATGGATGGATGGATGGATGGATAGATAGATAGATAGATAGATAGATAGATAGATAGATAGATAGATAGATAGATAGATAGATACACTCACCGGCCACTTTATTAGGTACACCTGTCCAACTGCTCGTTAACACTTAATTTCTAAGCAGCCAATCACATGGCGGCAACTCAGTGCATTTAGGCATGTAGACATGGTCAAGACAATCTCCTGCAGTTCAAACCGAGCATCAGTATGGGGAAGAAAGTTGATTTGAGTGACTTTGAACGTGGCATGATTGTTGGTGCCAGAAGGGCTGGTCTGAGTATTTCAGAAACTGCTAATCTACTGGGATTTTCACGCACAACCATCTCTAGGGTTTACAGAGAATGGTCCGAAAAAGAAAAAACATCCAGTGAGCGGCAGTTCTGTGGGCGGAAATGCCTTGTTGATGCCAGAGGTCAGAGGAGAATGGCCAGACTGGTTCGAGCTGATAGAAGGGCAACAGTGACTGAAATAACCACTCGTTACAACCGAGGTATGCAGCAAAGCATTTGTGAAGCCACAACACGCACAACCTTGAGGCGGATGGGCTACAACAGCAGAAGACTCCACCGGGTACCACTCATCTCCACTACAAATAGGAAAAAGAGGCTACAATTTGCAAGAGCTCACCAAAATTGAACAGTTGAAGACTGGAAAAATGTTGCCTGGTCTGATGAGTCTCGATTTCTGTTGAGACATTCAGATGTTAGAGTCAGAATTTGGCGTAAACAGAATGAGAACATGGAACCATCATGCCTTGTTACCACTGTGCAGGCTGGTGGTGGTGGTGTAATGGTGTGGGGGATGTTTTCCTGGCACACTTTAGGCCCCTTAGTGCCAATTGGGCATCGTTTAAATGCCACGGCCTACCTGAGCATTGTTTCTGACCATGTCCATCCCTTTATGGCCACCATGTACCCATCCTCTGATGGCTACTTCCACCATGTCACAAAGCTCTAATCATTTCAAATTGGTTTCTTGAACATGACAATGAGTTCACTGTACTAAAATGGCCTCCACAGTCACCAGATCTCAACCCAATAGAGCATCTTTGGGATGTGGTGGAACGGGAGATTCGCATCATGGATGTGCAGCCGACAAATCTGCGGCAACTGTGTGATGCCATCATGTCAATATGGACCAAACTCCCTGAGGAATGCTTCCAGCACCTTGTTGAATCTATGCCACGAAGAATTGAGGCAGTTCTGAAGGCAAAAGGGGGTCCAACCCGTTACTAGCATGGGGTACCTAATAAAGTGGCCGGTGAGTGTAGATAGACAGACACACAGATGGATGGATGGATGGATGGATGGATGGATGGATGGATGGATGGATAGATAGATAGATAGACACACAGATGAATGGATGGATGGATGGATGGATGGATAATTCCTATTTTTATGTAATAATGCAGTGTTTATGAGTAATCGGTGCACATCATCATTATTGTGTTAATAATGTTGAATCAGTTCCTCTCGCAGCATCTCTTCTCTTCTCTGATGACGAGGGCGGGGCTTTAACCTGTCACTCACATGAGATCAGCCAATAGCAAACCACAACCATCCAACCAGCCAATCAACTCCCCACAGACACAATCAAGCCCCGCCCACATTTACTCTCGTCCCAGAAGCGTTGCACTCGATGTACGACACAATAGAGGAGAAAAGAGAAGCATATTTCCTTTCATGACTGTAATACAGCAACTGAGTCGTCTTCTTCAAAGCGTTCAGTATCTGAGCATCAAATCATTATCAGATTGAACCAAAGGCACCTTCAGCTGAGCTCTGTCGTCCTCGACCCCGATCCAGCAGAGATGAAGAGTTCACCACAAACATCTTCATTTACACCCTCGCGTGCAAAGCTCGTACGTCTAACTATCATTTCTGTCTAGGTTAAGCACTTGCAGCGTTCTAGAATATGGCAGCATCATATTAACTATTCTATGATGCTTTATTAAAGTCACACAGGTTTGAATGACATGTAAATGATGATTTCTGCATGCATTATCTAAACAAGACTTTTACAGTTTTTAAATAGTTTTTTTTTAACTTGCTTTCCAGTAAATACATCTAAAACTTCTTGAAAGAGGATAAATGACCGTGAGAAGCAACGCTGCACATTGGGTTTGTATTGGGAACAGTGATGGGGAAAGATACTTTTAAAGTAATGCGTTACAATATTGTGTTACTCCCTAAAAAAAGTAACTATTTTTAACTTAAAGTAACTGTTACGTAGTTACTTTTTATGGAAACTAATGTGTTGAGTCACTTTTGCGCTACTTTTCCTCACCTCGACTGAGCTTGATTGTTTATTTTATGAAAACAATGTAAAGGTATCTCTTTAAGATCTCACTAAACGCTTCTGGACTGAAGGATCTCCAGTGTTTGTGTGTGTCGGAGACTTCTGCAAAGTGTCTGGAGCTGATTAACTTTCATTAGATTAAGAATTCCAATAACCGGCTCATAATGAAGACGCTAATCCTCACTAACCACACGCCAGCAAGCTTACGACGGCTCCGCTGACAGTGGAAACACTGGCTTAGCTTCCGCACGAAACCCTCGTCACATTAGAGCTCTGAAACGCCAGTGTTTCCTCGTCTCCGCTCCAGCGATGGCTAACGGAGATGTGATGCGTCCCAATACGCCATCCGTCCTAAAGAGTGTTCGAAAATACGTCCCAAATCGTACTATGTTGAAATGAGTATCCAAAGATACCGTGTATCCAGATCCGTGAACACGCTAGCGGCTAATACTGCCCACAACCAGTGTTGAGTGAGTTACTCTAAAAAAAGTAATTAAAGGGTTAGTTCACCCAAAAATGAAAATGATGTCATTAATGACTCTCCCTCATGTCGCTCCAAGCCCGTCAGACCTCCGTTCATCTTCAGAACACAGTTAAAGATATTTTAGATTTAGTCCGAGAGCTTTCTGTCCCTCCATTGTAAATGTGTGTACGGTATACTGTCCTTGTCCAGAAAGGAAATAAAGACATCATCAAAGTAGTCCATGTGACATCAGTGGGTTAGTTAGAGTGTGTTGAAGCATCGAAAATACATTTTGCTCCAAAAATAACAAAAACTAGGACTTTATTCAGCATTGTATTGTCTTCCGGTTCTGTTGTGGATCCGCGTTCAGTGCCGCCGCTGACGCGTGTGTGTGTGTGTGTGTGTATTCTGGTTCTGTTGTGGATTCGCGTTCAGTGCCGCTGCTGACGTGTGTCTGGTGTGTGTGTGTGTGTGTGTATTCTGGTTCTGTTGTGGATCCGCGTTCAGTGCCGCTGCTGACGTGTGTCTGGTGTGTGTGTGTGTGTGTGTGTGTGTGTGTGTGTGTGTGTGTGTGTGTGTGTGTGTGTGTGTGTGTGTGTGTGTGTGTGTGTGTGTGTGTGTGTGTGTGTGTGTGTGTGTGTGTGTGTGTGTGTGTGTGTGTGTGTGTGTATTGTGGTTCTGTTGTGGATCTGCGTTCAGTGCCGCTGCTGACGTAAGACGCTGCTGGTCTGCATTACGCGTGTTGGATGAGGATTCGATTAGAACTACAAACACGAGTAAAAAGTGTTAAAAAACTACAGACATGGAGGATGCGAGTCCTGCGGGTTTGAGGGATTCATTCTCAGTATCTAACCTGACATTGTCCACATCATATTTCATCTGCAGAAGCATTGTGAACTTCTGTAAAGATACGTTTTTAGCCATTAACTTTTAAATGCATCATTATATTACAAACTGCAAACACACGAGGAGACCCATGACCAGATCAGCGTGCATCAACACCTGTGACCCCGGACCACTAGCCCAGTCTCGAGTCGCACGGGTGTATTCTTTCATGCCAAAAATCATATTAAGTAAAGATCATGTTCCATGAAGATATTTTGTAAATTTCCAAACTGTAAATATATAAAACATGTGGATGCAGCAAAATCGCCAACATAAATGCACAACTTTAAAGGAGATTTTCTCAATGTTTCGATTTTTTTGCACCTTCAGATTCCAGATTTCAATAGTTGTATCTCAGACAAATATTTTTCTATCATATCAAACCATACATCGCTGGGAAGATTATTTATTCAGCTTTCAGATTGTGTATAAATCTCAATTTCAGAGAATTGACCCATGTGACTGGTTTTGTGATCCAGGGTCACATTTCTCTCTGAAACATTAGGAGATTAAATTAGATTGAATGGAGGATTTTAACTGTGAAAGATGATTGACAGGGCAGTTTAAGCACATAACTAAGCGACAGAGCTGTCCGTTAAAGATGACGAAGTAATATGTCCCAAAGCTTGCCTACTCTTTTGCTACACACTCAAAAGTCTGGACTTTTCCTCACAAAAAGAGTACAAACCCAGCAAGCAATTTTGCGTTTAAAAGATGTCTAATAGCCGTCCAAACACAGCCCTGACGTCTAGACTAAAACAAGGAGAAATTTAGGTTGAAAATCTAATAGACGTCTAACCATAGCCCAAGAATACACTAGTCATCAACGCATATAACATGTCAAAGACATGAAACCAATCACCTTGTAATCACTGTTGACTTTGCTTAGATGATGGAATATCGTACATCTCGCAAGTTATTTGGGCATAAACGACATGTAACCAAATTCAAGGTTATTTTGGCTAGAAGTGTGTGACTGTATCGAGTTAACCGAGACGTGACATGATGGCTATTGCATGCTGGGTATTTTAGGGCGCAGTAAGTAGGGGAATAGCCTGTTACCTGAGGAGGTGCACGGCTGCGTGTCATGTGACCCGGTGTCATGTGACCTGGTGTCGGCGTGTCTGTAGACCAGGTGAGGTTTGTTGTGCTCTTCCTCATACTCGTCTTCATCAGCGCTCAGCAGTGGCTCCAGGAACACCTGACCGCTGTGTGTCGTGAACGTGCCGATCTGAAGAAGAACAACACACACATGAGTCTCACGAGGATCCAACGATTCCTTACTTTATTAAGTGATCAGACACACAATATTCACAATATTCAATATTCAATGGAAACATCTACAGATTCACTTCACAGCGGACTGGAAAACCAAAACACTGGCATCTTTTATTATGTGGATGTTCCTGCTGTTTTATTCAACTATTTATGGTTTCAGTGCTTTAAAGACGGTCCACTTTATACCTAACAACACCTTTTGCCAAGTGGCATATTGGCATATAAATAAATAAATAACAGTACAAAATAAATCAATAGTAAAATAAATAAATATGTAATATTAAACAAAATGAGTTAAAAATGAAATAAACTTATAGTAAAATAAATAAATAAAAATAAATATCAATAAATAAAAATGTTGTTAAAAAGTTGACAAATGAAAAGTAAAAAAAATATATATATATTAAAAATAACTAAAATAATAAAATATAATAAAATAAATTAAAATTATTGTAAATATATGTATTGTATATATATATATATATATATATAGTAAAATAAATAAATAAACACAAAAAGTTAACAAAAAAAATTAATAGTAAATAAAATAAGTTAAAGATTATGATATTAAAAAATGAATAGTAAAATAAATAAATAAATATTGCATAGTTAAAAATAGTTAAAAAGTAAATAAAATGAACAGTACAATAAATAAATAAATAAAAATGGATAGTACATAAAATAAAAAAAGTTAAATAAAATAAATCTAAATAATCTAAATGAGCGTAAATTAATGTAAAAAAAACTGTAAAAATAATAAATAATGAGGCATAATGATTGACACTCCTTATGATCCTGAACCCCCCATGGTTTATCACCACGGCAACTCGTGCAAACACAGATTCCACAGTCCACACACACTCTAGTTTCAGGACACTGTATGGAAAACATAACAGCAAATAATGAAGTGGAAGAATGCCTGTGTTTGCTTGAACGAATGGAAACATGTTTGACATGAACTCTATTAGTTTTCCAGCGTGTCACGAGCCGCTCCACATGAAGATGTAGATCACAATCTCTGTCAATCACACACGTCACCGGCCTGGTATTCTCTTCCCTCGGAAACAAATGTCATTTCTGCCTCGTCCCACGGCGTGACCTTCACATGAAGAGCCTCTTCCACAGACACACACTATTACATCACACACACCGACGGCCAAACACACCACATCAAACACAAATGACACCGAGAAAACGACAAAATCACTCATAAAAGTATCATAACAGTCGTCTCTGTGATTCATGCACAGCATCTGACGGGTGTGAGGAGAGGGTTGAATGCTGTGTGTAGTTCTGAATGACAGCAGAGACGAGTGAAAGCGTGTCATTGGGATGATGTCACTCAACACACAGCGTTCATTAGGCGATTCACAAGACGAGTGTGTGAATGTTTCCGTCTCAAACCTTCTGACAGGCAAACACTCGCTCAGAGCCGTGGAAACATGACAGACCTGTCCCTTCACACGTGCACTCGCACACACACACACACACACACACACACACACACACACACACACACACACACACACACACACACACACACACACCCCTGAGAATACAGGACTGATGGACAGAAACACACACTGTAAACACACACACACCCACACACACTGTAAACACACACACACACACACACACA